ACACACACACGTGGTTACGTTTAGCCAACACACACACACACACGGTTACGTTTAGCCAACACACACACACGTGGTTACGTTTAGCCGACACACACACACGTGGTTATGTTTAGCCAACACACAGACGTGGTCACGTTTAGCCAACACACACACATGGTTACGTTTAGCCAACACACACACACGTGGTTACGTTTAGCCGACACACACACGTGGTTACGTTTGGCCAACACACACACACGTGGTTATGTTTAGCCAACACACACACACGTGCTTACGTTTAGCCAACACACACACATGTGGTTACGTTTAGCGAACACACACACATGGTTACGTTTAGCCGACACACACACGTGGTTACGTTTAGCCAACACACACACACGTGGTTAAGTTTAGCCGACACACACACGTGGTTACGTTTAGCCAACACACACACACGTGGTTATGTTTAGCCAACACACACACATGGTTACGTTTAGCCAACACACACACACACATGGTTACGTTTAGCCAACACACACACATACATGGTTACGTTTAGCCAACACACACACACCTGGTTACGTTTAGTCAACACACACACGTGGTTACGTTTAGCCAACACATACACACGTGGTTACGTTTAGTCAACACACAAACGTGGTTACGTTTAGCCAACACACACACGTGGTTACGTTTAGCCAACACACACACACGTGGTTAAGTTTAGCCAACACACACACACGTGGTTGCGTTTAGCCAACACACACATGTGGTTACGTTTAGCCAACACACACACACGTGGTTACGTTTAGCCAACACACACACACACACGGTTACGTTTAGCCAACACACACACGTGGTTACGTTTAGCCAGCACACAGACGTGGTTACGTTTAGCCGACACACACACGTGGTTACGTTTAGCCAACACACACACACACACGGTTACGTTTAGCCAACACACACACGTGGTTACGTTTAGCCAACACACACACGTGGTTGGGTTTAAGAAAAAAGAACAGGTTTGGCTTTACAATCTTACAGGCCTCCTGGGTGAAAGTTGGTGGTTGTTGGACCCATCCACCACCCTTCCCCCTGACGCCATTGATCGCCTTAAAACAATGATGGTGACCGGCTGTGTATCATGTCGACCTGAAAGGACGCCTTTGTTCGTTGGTCTCTGACGCCAAAAGTCACTGACTAAGCACCGGTATTTGATGACTTCAGAGTTCGACCGTGTTGGATCCAGAGTTTGGGTCGGAATGGTCTGCACAAGGTTCTCAACATGGAGATCGCTGAAACAGCTGCTAGCAGCTAACGGTGCTAACAGCAGCATCAGTGCTGACAGAGCCGACGTTGTAACTGAGGGTAACTGGAATGGGCGCTGCGCTTCCTTGCGGCGGCGATGAGTGAGCCAGTGGGATACACGTGTCAGAGCCAGCTGACCACAACAAACCACAGAGAAGCTCAGATGACATCACACACAGAGGGAGGGGCTTCAGTCTGTGCTCAGGTCGCCGTTACGTCACAGAAGCTGTTCAGACTGCAGAGTTTTGTTCTGTTGATACTCTGAACGTCACACGCAGCTCGTTTAAATACAGAACTCTGCTTCAATAATATCATCAGAATGTTTCACAAAAAAAATGTTTTTTAATGTTTTTTTAAAAAATAATTATTGGTAAAAAGTTTTAAAACTTAAAAGTAGAAAGTTGTAATATTAAAAGACAGTATTGTTATTATCCCACAGAGTTATAATATTTTGATATATTGAATTCTAAGAGTTCAAACTAAATAAAATCTGGATTCATTCAGTCAAAAACATGTCAGACAGATGTTCCGGTGAAATATGAAGAAACTGTTGAATGTTTTAATAAATGTCAAATGAAATAATTTGCTGCAATCGTTTCTACATTTCAGTAAAATCTGTGAATCATCTGACAGAAAATATTCAAACTATAAAATCAATAAATATCTGTATGTTGTTAAATATAAAATCAAAAATGTTTTTCTGATGTGTTTCCTGTTTCCTGTTGAAACATCTTCCTGCAGCAGTGCATGCTGGGTACCTGGTATGGTGAGCCAGGAAAGGTCGCAGGCTGAGAGCTGTAAGCTGCAGAGACAACAACAGGTCATATGATCAGATCCTTTCCACGGTAACAGCCCCGCATCACACTTTAGCACTGATGTGAACATTTTGACACAGAAATAATAGCAAAGTCAGTTAAGTGTTTGGTGCAGGTGAAACTGTTCTGAACACGAAGACACAAAGTCGTAACATTTACAACTTTATATTTACAACAAACAATTTAAAATCTTTGAGAATTCGTCAGTTATCTCAGATATAACGTCACGACTTCACTTTAAAGTTTAAGATTCTCAAGCTGAAAGAAAACACTTCATGATGTTTCCAGAAAACAAAAAAGAATTAAGTCTGAATATTTTCAGAATAAAATTGTGACATTTGATTGATTTTTAATATTCTAATATTCAGCTGTGCGCAGACCAAGAAGAATCTGCTGTTTTTATTTTATTCTATTTTATTTTATAGATTTGACTGAAATGAATTGATGCACTGATTTCAATAAGAAACTTCAAAATATAAATAAAACTCTGAACTATGACGACAGACAAAGAAACGACCTGATTTTAAATCTAAATGTTTAATTTTGAATCTGTAACAAACCTGAAGAGAAGCCGGGAGCTGAAGGTCCACCGGGGACGGGAGGGACGTACGGAGGAGGGTTATCATTACTCATGGGGACAGATGGACGGACGGATGGACGGATGGACGGATGGATGGATGGATGGATGGATGGATGGACGGATGGATGGATGGATGGATGGATGGATGGATGGACGGATGGATGGATGGATGGATGGATGGATGGACTGAGGAAAGAGAGCAGAAATAGTCACCACATGTAAAAACGCTGAAATAAAATGAAATTATATTTATATATAACAGGTCCAGACATGAAGCGAATATTATTAAAATGTTTTTGTGAACATGTCTTGATTTAAGAAGAGTGCGGCGCTCTGCTGCTCCGTCTCCACAGACAGAGTGTCCAGAGTGCGCTCTGCCACTCTGAGAGTGCGCTGCTCTGGATAACCCAACGCTACATTCAGACAGCGCTCCCAATTTATCAACGCTCCAGTTTGTGTCAGAGTGCGCTCCCACACTCACAATGAGTGTTTCTGAACGCACCACTCACATCATCTTCCTCCATTGTCTAAAACAAGACAACACAACTTGTTAGCTAGCGCTAGCTAACTGTTTTGCCTCCAGCTAAGCCCCGCCCACCAACAAACATCACTCTGTTTACTGACAGTAAAGGGTCTGTTGACTCTTTATTAACCAATTTTTACATCTTTAAACCCTGATGATTATTATCAGAGGGATAAATCTACTTTATATTGTCAGAAGAATCAAACTACTCAAAAAACATTAATAAAATTTTCTCTGTTTGATATTTAATTTATCTTTTAAGTAATTTTCAAGCAGCTGTGACAACACTGTTGCTCCAGTATTTTATGAAAGTTTGAGTTTCAGAGTTTTGGTGGAATAAAACAAACCATAATAAAATACGAGCTGTTACAGGAGACAACCATCTGCAGATGGATCATCAGTGACATAATCTTTACTTATTAAATGTCAGCGTGTGAATAAAAGCTCTTTTATTTCCTGCTGAACTTTATTTAAATCACGTTGTTGTGAACAATGTGCGCTCAGGGCTCCGTCTAACGTCTGCTGAGCTCAGCTGCGTCCATACCAGCTGTAATCTAATAAAGCAACAGACGACTTGTTGACTGTGACGTGTCTCTGACAAACACACACTCAGTTTGTTTTTTACTAAATAACCCAGTCAACATGTTTCCAGTTAAACCAGTCTGTCACATGTCAGCCAGGAAAACTGTTTTTAGGATCAACACCTGAAAGCAGCTGGATATGAAACTGTGACGTCACGTGACCCCGACGATCAATAAATAATATATTATTAGAGAAAAGTCAAATGTGTTCGTTTCTTCAGCAGTCTGGAGCGTGTGACAGCGTGCACACACACACTGCTGTTACAAACCTTTAAATGACATCATCATCATCATCATCACATCTAAACACACACACACACACACACACACACACTTTATAATTAACTCTCACCTAAATCAAAACTTTGACTTCATGTGCAGCATTAAGGGACAGTTCAGTGAAACACATCAACATAATGTGACACACTGACAGTGAGAGTTGGAGCAGAAACATGAACACATGTTTACATATTTACACTTTAATCTGAACCTGATAAATCAACATCGTCTCCATGACGACAGTTTAACTGCTGCTACAGAACATAGTAATTATACTTATCATTATTACTTATGATGAACTAACCCATTACACACTGTTTATAATATGAGTCTAATTAAGTTTATACAGTTTAAAGTTCAGTTCGCGGTGACACCAGACTCCGTTCACAACTCGTTCATTTTAATGTTTCCGGTTGCAGCAGGACGAATCACCACCTGGACAATTAACATTTATATATTTTCCAAATTCAAAGTTTCCAGTCTTTAATTCGTCTTTAATAAAAAAACGCATCACTGCGCGGAGGTGGAGGATTGTCACGCAGTTTTCCTGACATCATGCTACCGTGAGACTGGAGTGTAACGAGCGGAGCAGACGGTGATGACGAGAAGAAACTGTGAATCTACGTGAAGCAGCTGCTTCTTATTGAAACATGTTGGAGCCGAGTTCAGTGTCAGAGTCACAGAACACAGACCAGACATAAAAACATGTTCAATAAACACTCAGACTTCACTTTGTGTCAAATTATATTAAATGACGTGTTTTCTCGGCGGAGTCTGGCGCGTGAAACAGAATCTGAACTTACCTCTCAGCTCAGGACGAAGCGTCAAATGTCACAACATGAACTTTCTCTGTTGCCGTCGCTCCAGTTGATCGACGTGTTGACCGATGGATTAATGGATGAGTGTGCGCGAGGCAACAGCCGGTGACGTCAGAGTCTCTCTGTCTCTCCTCTGTTTATCTTTTTACTTTTGGAAATTAACTTTATCATCAGTTTCCGGTTTGAGTGTGACATCTATCGATCAGGTGATCAAGAGATGAGTCACATTTATTGATCAATTAAAAACACGTGATCAGTTATCAATCAGGCTCCTTTAGCAGTGAGCAGGGCTGTTTGAAGACACTCTGGGGGCCCCAGGCAAGAGGCACCTTGGAGTAGTTTTATTTTGTTGTGTTGTTTTGGAGCTGTGTTGATGGAGTCTGGTTAGTTAGCTTCACCATCAGCTGTTTTCAGGGTTCAGCTCTTGGCTTTTTAGTGCTTTGAATGGAAGTGTGTCTTCTGGACTTGTGTTTAGATGTGTCCAAAATGTTATTGCCCGTTTCTGAATATTAAGCAGTAATGGGAAGCGTCCCAGTTCTGCTCGGCAGGCGTTATTTGGGGTTTTCCTCTGCACGTTTAGAATTCTTCAACAGAATTCAGTGTGGACGGCCTCTATTGGCTGTTTATCCCATGAGCCTTACTCCAATCCACTGAGTGGACCCCAGACCTCACTTCCATACTAGGCTATTGGCAAAATTACATTATCAAATATTTTTGTCCATATTCTAACTGGAATGTCAATGTTGAATAATTTGTTTTTTAATGCACACATTGCCCTGTCAGCTTGTTCTTTGAGTGCATTTACTGCCATGTTGAAACTTCCTGATGCAGATATGGTCAGACCAAGCTAAGTATAACTTTATGTGTGTTCAATTACCGTATTGTTTAAAGTAAAATGTTATTTGTTTTCAAGACATCTGGGCTTTTATGAAAGATCATAACTTGGGTTTTCTAAAATGTACATCCAAGGCCCAGTTATAGCAGTATTGTTCCAGGATGGTCAGCTCATGTTGAAGACCATCACTGGTTGGAGACAACAGAATCAGGTCATCTGCACAGAGCAAATATCTAATCTCTGTGTCAAAGAGTGTGAGGCCTGGAGCTGTTGAGCGGTTCAGCTGGTCTGCAAGTTCATTTATATACAGGTTGAATAATGTGGGCCTTAAACAGCATCCTTGCTTTACACCGCGTCCTTGAGTAAAATATTCTGTTCTTTGATTGTGAATTTTCACAGCACATTTGTTGTGTTAGGGTTAGTGTTGGCCCTATCGCATGCCAAATGGAATCAAAAGCTTTTATGAAATCAGTGAAACAAGCAAATATTTTCCCTCCCTGTTTTTGGTGAACATGTTTATTAATTAAGGTGTGTAAGGTATATATATATATGATCAGAGGTTCGGTAATTTGGAAGAAAGCCAATTTGACATTTACTAAGTGTGTCTTTTCCTTGAATAAAGGCTAGTATCCTGGAATTTAAGAAACTACAAAATATTTTGCCAAGGTTGCTGCTCACACAGATCCCTCTGTAGATATTTCCAGTTTTATATATTGATCAGCCCCTGGTTCCAGACATCAGGAAAGCAGCCAGTGGTCAGAACCATGTTGAACACTTTAACAGCTGCAGTTTGCATTTCAGGGGTGCTGTTCTTCAACATTTCATTTTTGATGCAATCTGTGCCACAAGCTTTTTTTGATTTAAGAGTTTTCAGTTTGTCTGTTAAGTCTTTTTGTGTAACTGGGTAATCTAATGGATTTTGGTTATTCTTGACAGCTGATTCAAGGTTGCCTAACTCTGTTTTAATTTCCATTTGATTGAAATTGAGATAATCAGGTGAGATATTTTTATAGAGGTCATTAAAATAGTTTTTCCAGATGTCTCCATCTTGTATTGCTAATTGTTGTGGCTTTACAGTTTCCAAACTGTTCAGCATGTCCCAGAGCTGACCCTGATCTACTGTGTTTTCAATCTCCTGAAGTGTTTCGTTGGTGTAGTGCAATTTCTTTTTTCTAATGGTGTGTTTGTACTGTTTCAAAGTCTTCATGTTGTAGTGTTGGGTCATGTTGGTGTCTGTGTTTCTGGTTTATTAATTGTCTCAAGTGTTTTCTTATTTCTTTACATTCACTGTCAAACCACTGTTTTTCAGGGGGTTTTGTTTCCTGTTTCGACGGTGGGGTTTCCTTGTTTTCCTAAGCTTTGCATTTAATGCAGCTTTTTGGAAGATATGGTTAATATCTTTTGTTGCTTTATT